GCAATATAACCCCAATTATAATCCGTTGTATCTAAAAATAGTAACGCCGCTGGTATATCTGTGTATATAGATTCATCTTGACCGGCTTCTAGTAATAGTACCGACCAATTTTGGTTTTCGGATAAACGGTTTGCAACGACACAGCCTCCTGGACCGGCTCCAATTACAATGAAATCATACTCACGAAGTATCGGTCTATTACCTATAAAATTGTTTTCTCTGAATGGAATTTCTTGTTGCTGATATTGTCCATAATTTGACTGATACAATTGACTAAGAGTTAAAGACGAAGAAAAAATAAAAATTGTGAATATTATTAGAATATTTTTCATGATGACGTGACCACTTAGATGGCAATGGTCCTGGGTTGTAGTCAACTGATGTCAGAACTGTGTGTCCGGGCCTCAAACAATGCTATTTATTTACTTCTTCTCCTACTATGCATACTTTTTATTTAATGTTGATTAAATATGTGTATATATTAATATATATATATACAAGTTACCACTGTTTCATATTTCAGTGTTCAGGAAATGTAGGTTAGTGTTACTTGAAGTTAACTATGCATTTTAAGTATAGTTAAAAACCAGTAAGTTAAGTAGGCTGTTTGAATAAATTAATTAAAGACGTTAGAAAAATTGTTAATATATTTCCATTTTTTTTTTTTTTTTTTAGTTAATAAAACAAATATTATCTTTTATTGAATCATAAAGGTCTTTGATGATATAAAAACAAAATATTTATTAATATTATCAAAAAAAGGAGAAAATTATGTAACTATTCTGCTGTATCTACAATAGGTGACTAGTGCACCATATCATTAAGTAAGTCACTGTTTGATGTATATGTTCAATATTATTTTAATAGTAATTTGTTTTTGGTCAATACCGACTTAATTTAATCTTTATTACAAAGTATATTTATTTAAATTTTATAGTTTAATATTAGATTATTTATTATGATTTATATTATACTTATGAAAGTTATTTATTTTGTTATTAGTTGGTTAATTTAATTTTTTTTTCGAAAATATTGCACATTTTATATCATACATGATACATATATAATTAAAAATCATTATAGTAGTTATATATTTATATTTTATGTACTTTATCATTATTGTCAACTTTCAAGCCAATATCGCTTTACCATAGAACAATGCGAAAAGTTTTTAATTCATTGCATATTTATACAATGAAACTTCAAATTAATCTATATGTTTTAAAAATGTAAATGCGATGTATATAAAATATAATTTACTATAAAAATATAGGAATTCCCTGTAAGTAATATTTTTGAATCATGAAAAAATAATAAAATTTGTAATTTTTTTAAATAATATCTTTTTCAACCAAATTTAAGTTTTAAATATTTATAAAAAAAGATTGTGCATTAAATAATGTTTTTTAGATTTTTGTTCCAGAATAAACACTTATAATGAACCTTTCCTTAATTTTACCATTAATCGGGAAATCCTTATACAAAAATTTATATTTTGAAATATTTGAATATTTTAATCAAAAATAATCAAAAGCATTTGATGTATCTATACGTTTATATGTTCTTAATTATTATATAATAAGAAAATAGATTTTGACAAAAAAGATTTTATATAAAATTTTCAGATTTTTTTTTTTACTTTATTATTCAATTAGTACTTTGAAAATGCTGAGAATTTTTTACTTTTGACCTTCCTCCAAAAAAAATTTTCAATTTAATACACTTTCCAACCAGAATAAAATATTGAAGTTAAAAATCTAAACATTTTTATTGCTACAAATTACAACAAAATCAAATATTTTTAAAAATTTCCTACTACAAAATAATTTATTTTGTACATTTTATTTTAACGAATTTTGTCGACATTTCTACTTTAAGTGATTATAAAAAAAATATTAAGATTATAGATTTTTTATATTCTTCAATTGAAAAATTAATAACTTACGAAGAGTTCTGTATTAAATATTATACATTTCTACTCAACAATCAATTTAATATAATCGGCATTTATAGAAAAAAATTAAGACTTAGTCATTACAACTAACAGCATAATTAACCTTCAGTGCTTAAAAGTACATACAAATTGTTAAGTAATTCTGTCAATAGCTAGTCTACCTACTTCCATAGAGAATTATGTTGCAATAAATTAATTATTTTATACCATTGAGCCTTTAGTCCAATCTTCACGGCTTACCAGAAATCCTTAACATTGTTTTTTAATTATTACATACCTAGTTATTACTAATCTTAACTCTACGTCAAAGTGAATGAATAATCTGAAAAAAAAACTAATTTCTAGTAATCCTTACAACTTATTTGTCAAATTTTGCGTTGTACAGCATGACGTATGATAATATATGTAGAACCAAATAGGTACAAAGCGATTTCTCATAGAATGTGATTATACCTATTAAATAATATTAAATATACATAAAAACAAATTCTTTTCTATGAGTATTTCAAGTTTAAATATGAATAAAATTCAATATATAAACTGAAAATAACAATTTTAGTTATATTTTGTTGTAATTTAAAATTATTTTTTGTGGACATAAAATGTTTACTTACATAACTAAATTTTATAATATATATGAGGACATTTAAAAGAAATTTAAATTAAATTTATGATATTATTGCCTGTTTAAAGCACGAAGACACGTATCTTTATTTCTATGATAAGTTAATATTGACTCAAAAGTTAATAACATTAATATAAAATTAATACAATAGAGATTATAATAATAAAATAAATAAAATCAATGTTTCCGGAAAAATTAAATCAACCTATCGTAACACTAATAATAAAATTAATTACTTAAATATCAAAAAAAAAAAATCTCGAAATATGAGTTTTTACTTAATAATTACTAAAGTTATATTAATATAAGTTAACAGAACATCTTCGATCGGATTTCTTTTTCGTTTATAACAATTTATAATTGAATTTAAATTTAACACGTTCATATAGTGATCTTTTAAATGACAAGGTACACTTAACTTCTACTATTAAGTAAAGTGGGGTTACTTACTTCTTCCATTTTATTTAAAATGATTTTGGTATACATAAAATATAGAATTAAAAAATACAATTATTCACATATTATTAAATTTATTTATTTTTCATGAAAAACCATTGTTACTTGTCAAGTATACATTCAGTTTGACAATTAGAATACAATAATGATTTGAATTTACCTAAATTATTAATTTAAAAAAAAAAAAAATTTATAATTATATAGGTACGACTAAAAAATTACTGATAGAATACGTATTGTATTCTATACAAGAGTAAATAAAAATTAAAGGATAATATCATAATAAATTTAATAATCATAACTTAACTGTGAAAATAAATATTTTATTCAAATAAATTACTTTGACCAAAAGCTTCGAATCATATCTGCTCCCTTTTCACCAATCATTAAAGTTGGGGCATATGTATGTCCATGCGGAATATATGGAAGTACTGAACTGTCTACTACTCTTAATCCTTGAATACCAATGACTTGTAATTTATTGTTGACAACATCCCCCATCCTGCATGTACTACATTGATGATGCCAGGTATTTGTCAGGTGTTGTGATAGACAAACCCAATAATCGTCAGATTTAAATGGTATATGCGTACATTTTGGGTATGGTATTGGACTTAGTTTAGCTGCGATATCTTTAAATGCCTGTGTTTCTTCTACTAATTTAACTGCATATTTAAGTGCAAAAACATTGTCTTCTAAATCAGTAGTATTGTTTTCATAATAACCATAGGACATAATGGGCGGATCTAATGGGTTATTGTTTTTCAAAGTCACGTTTCCACGAGCGTCTGGTTGTAACAGGAGAGTTGCAATAAAAAACATATTTGGTTCATCTGATATGGGACCAAATATTAATTCGACCCCTTTGCCAGATGGTGCCCTTACATAACCTAAACCGTCTGCTCCTGCTGGTGCTGTTAATGGTCCTCGGCCATATTTGAACCATTCTTCAAATAAATGTTTGTCTGATATAGCAGCTTTCGTTATTACTGGTCCAGTTTGATTTACTTCAAATTTTAAAGCTATAGTATTAAAAAAAAATTATTTATTATAAAATATTATTTAGTACATTTTTAAATTTATAATAATTCTAATTAAGTGTCAACGTTATTTTAAAAATTTACAATTTTTAAATAATAGTCTCAGCAGTAAGAAAAGAAGTGATTTTAATGTATATTATATTGGGTTCACTATACACTTAACTCATTACAACAATAAATCAAAAATTAAAAAATATTTAATTAAATTTATTAGAATACTGAAGTAGTAACTGCTACCTAGTTATGTTCACAATGTTAATATTCACTGACAAACGATTTTCTTACATTTAAATTAGTTTTAGATTTTGAATGGAGTCATAAATATATTGATTTTACAATGAAGAGTGTTTTTTCCAGTCGATCATTAGCTTTAGAAGTAATAAATATGCTTCGATTTTAAAGTTTGAAGGAGGTTTCTGACAAAAAATTAAATTTAGTTTCACTTTTGAAATAAAAGTAAAAATCTTCTTGTATTTTTTAAAATACTCTGAAATAATAAAAACTAAACTAAGGAGAATCAGTAATTATTTGAACAAAATTAGTATTTGATAAAATAATTTCGAAAAAAGCCAGTTACGAATGAATATCTATAATATCCAACAAATTTAAACTTCATATAATTATAAAAAATACATGTGTCTATCTGGTTACTTTTATTTTGGTTTAGTAGAAAACTAATGGCAAACAAAAAAATTGTGTTCAATTTTAAAATCATAAAAATAAAAATAAAATACTTTCGATAACCAAAAATATTTCAAAATATGTTCACCAAATATTTATGTTTGAATTTCCTATGCTTAGTATAATTTTTTAAATATTTTGTATCTTTTCGAATTATTTGTAGATATTTGAATTTTTTTTTTTTTTATAAATGACGATAGTAAATTATTGCCTAGGTAGGTCAAATTTTTGAAAATCGAGTACAAGATACCTCATAATAAGTTCTTATCTCCATAAAAAAATATAAAAATACATTAACACAATTTCTTTTTACATACATTTGAATTTCAAATTCTTACAAAATTTGTCAAAATTACAAAAAGTTATGAAATCTTTAATTTTTATAACTTAGATATGAAAATTTAATACAATACATTATTATATCATTCCAAAACTATTAAATTTTTATAAGTTGTATGATTTAAATTATTTGTGATTGATAGGTATTATATTTGAAGTTCAAACTTGAAAAAAAATTACATGTTTTAAAAATGAATATTGATTATTTTGTTTAATTCCAAAACATTATACGCGGAGACTTAATATATTATAAATAGGTATATTAGATATTTCACTATATTCAATGACTTTTTAAAAATATTGAGATTAATCTTAAATGCTATTTATTCATACTTTGAACATGTTCATTGTTTTACAGTAAGGTAACATAAACTCAAAAATATAATGATAGTGATATTAAAATATGAAAATATATAATATTTAAATAATTCAACGCTAATAATAAGGAAATACTAAAAGTTATTCAACCTACAGAAATACTAATATTGAAATAAATTTCTTCGATAGTAGTATAAATTAATAAATCATAAAATATAGTTATTTAAATATCTTTTTTGTATATAGGTATAATATGGTATATCATTGAATTCAAATTTAATACAACGATTACAGTTATTCACTCGACACCTAATTAAAGTAAAACAAAATTGCAAGGATAGAATCTTATTAAGTTTCTAAATAGATATAAAAAAAAAAAATTAGTTTTTAAACTCTAAAAATTATATAATTATTATTGCTTGAAACTTGAAATTAACATACCCAATGTTCCATAGTGGTCAAGTAAAGTTTTTCCAACTGGTAAATCTTGGATTACTGGTATACCATGATTCTTTAAGTCATATTTTGGTCCAATACCCGATAACATCAATAATTTTGGTGAATTAATGGGCCCAGCAGATAGAATTACTTCTTTTTTAGAATATACTGTTCTAATTTTTCCTTTTTTAATAAACTCCACTCCAATTGTTTTTTTAGTTTTGGGATCAATGATTATTCTTGTTGCTTGGCTAAGAATTGCCACATGAAGATTTTGACGATTTTTGACTGGTCGAATAAAGGCTTTAGACGCACTAACCTACGCAATAAAATATACAGAGTTATTCACTAATTTAAAATTAATAATAAAATAATATTTTTTGAAGTTCTTAAAAAAATGATTAATATACAATAATATAAATAAAAACTAAATTTCAATTTCACTTTTAAATATTGTTAATTATGTTTAAATATAAAATAGTTTGGTGTTTTGGGTATCAAAGCAATTTACTACAAGTACTACAAAAATTAAATTTTTATCAAACTAAGTTGAAAAAAAATAGTTTTTAATAAATTGATGAAAAATAGTGCTAGGTTTATTTGGTGGGTTATATAAACAATTACAAAACATTTAATGAATAAATAATAAAAATTTTTTTTATCAAAACGTGATTTGGTTGTTCAGAATTGATTCTTTAAATTTTATTTATCTATTTTTCATAGAACCCAAAAACTGGTTTCTTATTAGACGTATATTAATTTAATTCATAAATAATAAATATATTTACTCGATGTCCATTTAGAGTTGCGACTTGGAAACGGGATACTCCATGTTCAGGATCAATTGTATAATCAATATTTTTTTTTAATCCTAATTCTCCACCAGCTTCTATAAATTTATCAACGCGCGTTGAATGATATCTTACTCGTTCAACATGTACATTTCCTTTTTGTGAATGGAATGGTGAGTTTTGATATTCTGGTATAGAATTGTTCTCAGATTTCAAAAAATAAGGCAATACATCATTGTAAGCCCAACCATCATTTCCCAATGCTGCAATTGTATCGTAATCTTCTTTTTTTCCTCTTGTGTAAAACATGGCATTTATTATTGATGAACCTCCCATGCCTTTTCCTTTTGGCCATGGACAACGATTGTTTTTAAAACCAAAACAACCATTTTTT